TATTGGATTTACATAGTGATTTGCATCACGTTACACTATGTTTATTCTTCTGTTGACTGGCGGATTATCAATTAAGAGATAAAAAAAAAAAAATAATATTACACAACGATCATTTAGTTATTTTATAAAGAATGAAGGGTCTTATCTATATTCTTCTATACTTTGTTATACATTACCTCCTAAAAACTATCCAATTCCTGATAACTATTCTGTAAAAACTACCTGGGGGCGTGAAAAAAGTCAACAAACAATTCAATGTAAAATTAAATATAAAAATAACTATCCAGAATTTCAAATTTTATTTGGTCCATCTTTTGAATATGTATTTAAATCAAACAAATCAGCTAGTAAAGTCATAGCAGAGTACAATATAGTATGGTATTAAAATAATTTTCTAAATCACATAATTATTATATTAAAGATTTTTCTTTACACAAGTGCCTTGCATGAGATAATCACAATTTTTTTAAATGTTATTTTTCATCTCTATTAATTACTTTAATAAAATTTTATTTATAGATTGTAAATAGTTCAGATAAGAGTATTTTATCTGAGCCACTTCTCTTTGAATTACAGCTTCAAATATTTTAAAAAGTTGAAGAATTTCGAGATAAACATACAGTGCCAGTTAAACCTGCTAAGCAATATTCGCAACAAGTACTTAATAAATGTGCAAAACATATTGTAATAATAATAAAGGATAAATTTATTTAAAGTACAAATTCTAAATATAATACTCAGGATTCTGTTAAGTTAAAATCATTTGAATATTCTGTCAATAACCAAAATTATTTTTTCAATTTTAAGGACGATTCTGAACAAAAAAGAGCTGAAATTTTAAATATGGTTAAAGTAGTAGATTCATATTATATTTCACGAGATATTTATTAAAATTTGGCAACAACACATCATCACCTACTACATAAATATATTATTGCAAATGAACAAAGCGACCTAATCCAAAGAATAGTTAAAGACATTTCTATTAAATTTATTAATATGAATACAATGATAACAAATATAGTGAATGAAGAATTTGATAATATAGATGAAGAGTTTACCGTAGTGCACTGACCAAAGTATCTCCCTTTTTGCGTACCCCCATTTAAAATACCCGGGTATTTTGCATGGCATATTTTTTTTTCACCAAGCAAGATACCCAGGTATTTTATAATTCTTGAGGGTGGTGGTTTTATATATGACCTGGGTATTTTGTATTTTTTGTATTGTGGCATTTATCTAATTGTATCCGTTATGAAATCTGTATTGCGACAACCGTTGTGTAATTTGTTTATCTACGCTACATTTATTTGCATACGTACTGTATATATACAATTAGAGTGCAATGTTGCATTTTATATTAGGTCAACATTCCATATTAAGAAAATAAATATTCATGAATTAAATTCCAAGATAC